CGGGGGGGATTTTGGGGGGGATTTTGGGGGGAGACCCCCGTGCGAGGGGAGATCAAAGCGGGGGGGGAGGGGTCAAAGGTCAGTGGGGCAGAGGGGAGTGGGGGAGGGGAGGGGGGGAGCCCCAGGGGCTTTTTTTAATCGGAGGGGTCAAAGGTCAGTGGGGCAGAGGGCAGCGGGGGGAGGGGAGGGGGATTCACCCGGGGGGGGTGGGGGTCGCACTGACCCCCCCTTTTCCCTCATTTTGCCCCCCAGATGTTCCAGCTGTGCCGCCCCCGCGGGGGCCGCGCCCTCCTGGGGCTGCGGCTGCTCCGGGGCCCCCCCGGGCCCGCCCGGCCCCTCAGCTACCGGCCCCTGCGCAAGGTCCTGGTGGCCAACCGGGGTGAGCCGCGGCGGGGACCCCCCGGGAATCCCGGGACACCCCCAGGACACCCCCGGGAAACCTGGGACCACCCGGGACACCCCTGGGAACCCCCCCGGGAATCCCGGGACACCCCTGGGACCCCCCCGGGAAACCCGGGACACCCCCAGGACACCCCCGGGAAACCCGGGACACCCCCGGGACCCACCTGGGAAACACCCCGGGAATCCCGGGACACCCCCGGGACCCACCTGGGAAACACCCCGGGAATCCCGGGACACCCCTGGGACCCCCCCGGGAATCCCGGGACACCCCCAGGACCACTCGGGATACCCCCAGGACACCCCCCCGGGACAGCCCCCGGGAACCCCCGGGAACCCTCGGAACCCACCCAGGACCCATCCAGGAAGCCCCGGGACACCACCTGGGACCCCACGGGAAACCCCCCTGGGACACCCCCCTGGGAACCACCTGGGACCCCCCCGGGACACCCGCTGGGGACACCCCCAGGATCCCCCCGGGACACCCCCGGGACCCCCAAACTGCCTGAGCCCCCCTGAGCCCCCCCCGTGTCCTCTGCATCCCCCAATGTCCCTTTAACCCCCCCTGTGCCTGGGTGGCCCCAGGTGAGGTCACAAGCAGTGTCCCCAATGTCCCCAAGGTGTCCCCAATATCACCAAGGTGTCCCCAAGGTCCCCAATGTCCCCAGAGTGTCCCCAGGGTGTCCCCAATGTCCCCAGGGTGTCCCCAGTGTCCCCAGAGTGTCCCCAGGGTGCCTGTCCCCGAGGTGGAGTCACTGTCCACGTGTCCTGGGCATGCACACGGATCTGCATGGTGGCCGTGTCCCTGTCCCGTGTCCCTGTCCCGTGTCCCCAGGGTGTCCCCAATGTCCCCAGTGTCCCCACGTCCCAAGGTGAAGTCACCATCCACGTGTCCTGGGCATGCACACGGATCTGCATGGTGGCCGTGTCCCTGTCCCGTGTCCCGTGTCCCCAGGGTGTCCCCAATGTCCCCAATGTCCCCAGGGTGTCCCCATGTCCCCAACGTCCCCGTGTCCCCGTGGCCCAGGTGAGATCGCCATCCGCGTGTTCCGGGCCTGCACGGAGCTGGGCATCCGCACGGTGGCCGTGTACTCAGAGCAGGACACGGGCCAGATGCACCGGCAGAAGGCGGACGAGGCGTACCTGGTGGGCCGGGGGCTGCCCCCCGTGCAGGCCTACCTGCACATCCCCGACATCATCCG